ATCGAGGCGTTGGCGAACGGTGTAACTACGTGCACTTTGCTAAAGTGGACGATAATGGTTTGGAGAGGCTAGAGCGCATGGTGAGCGATTATTTAATCAACGAAGGTCTTAGTGTACGCGAAGGGGTGCAGGACTGTGAAGCTGCAGAAATAGTCAGAGCTAAAGAGTTGCTTGAGAGCACGACCGTGAGAAAGGGTTTCTAACTTCGAGACAGGTTTACTTTGGAAGCAGGATAATGTAGAACTACCAGATAGTTGGCCAATGGCAGAAAACAGGTTGTTAGCTCTGGAAAGGAATTTAAACGCAATAATGACCTCAAGACAGCATATGTTCGGGTAATGAAAGAATACGAAGAAAAAGGGTACTCAAGAAGACTGACAGCGGATGAAATTGCGGCCGGAGGGAAGCACACCTGGTATCTACCCCACTTCGGAGTTTGGAATGCGAATAAGCCAGGAAAGATGCGACTAGTTTTCGACGCGGCGGCCGAAGTCGACAACGTCTCGCTAAACTCGGTGCTGCTTAGTGGACCGGAGCTTAATCAATCTCTAGCAACCATTTTAATGAAATTCAGACAGAAGCCGGTGGGCGTATGTGCGGACATAGTGGAAATGTTCCACCAAGTAAAGATACGCGCTGAGGATCAAGCAGCACAACGTTTTCTATGGAGAACCGAGGGGTGTTTAGCCCCATCGAGGTATACGTTATGAACGTGATGACGTTTGGAGTCACATGCTCGCCAAGCTCGGCACAGTTCGTAAAGAACAAAAACGCGGAGGAGTTTAGAGAACGGTTTCCCGAAGCGGTCGAGGCCATAGTCGGCAACCATTACGTCGACGACTTTGTCCACTGTAGAGAAAGCCATCCGAGTAACTGAGCAGGTAGCGTATGTACACAAAAAAGGGGGTTTTGAACTAAGGCGATTTGTATTCAATTCTGAACGGCTCACTAAGAAGATGAATGAAGAGGAAACGCACTCGTCTTGTGTAAATCTGGATAGAGACAACGCAGGCCTTTTTCAGAAAGTGCTTGGCTTACACTGGGATACTAATAATGACGTTCTGAGATTTGTGCTGTCGTTTACGAAGGTGGATCCAGTTGTGCTCGCCGGCAAGAGGAAACCAACAAAGCGCGAAGTACTGAGTGTTACAATGTCCGTGTTTGATCCATTCGGAATGGCTGGCGAATACACCAGGGAAGCGAAGCTTCTCATCCAGTCTACTTGGCGTGCCAGTATCGGTTGGGACGAGTATATTCCGGAGGAATCATATGACGAATGGCTAAAGTGGGTAAGAGGTATCAAGCGTCCGGAAGAAATGAGCGTGCCGCGATGCTACGGGACACTGTTTGAACAGGAACCAGTCGAATTGCACATTTTTGCGGACGCGAGCGAAGTAGCCTACGCTGCAGTAGCGTATTGGAGGACGTTAGCTGGAGCAGGTATCATTAAACCTATATTTATTGCAGGAAAAACTAAATGCGCACCGTTGAAACTTACATCCATTCCCCGTCTCGAGCTGCAGGCAGCAGTATTGGCTACACGACTTCGGCAGAGCATCCTTCACTGCCATGACAAGATCCCAAAGAGAGTGGTAATGTGGAGTGATTCCAAAACAGGGAAATCGACCTGGATTGACGGGCCAAGGTTCCTAGAAGAAGACGAGTTCATGTGGCCGCAGGACGAGGTTCCCTTAGATACGAACGAAGAAATTCGCGCAAAATATGCGGTGCTGACGATAAAGGTCGACGTTTCCATGTTCGCAAGATTTTCAACGCTTATACGCATGACCAGGGTGGTAGGCTGGATATTGCGGTTTCGAAACAACTGCTGGAAGAACGCGAGCGCAAGAATCTACAAAGGACTAAGCGCTACGGAAATAAGGCGAGCGGAAATAGCGATAATCCGTGCGGTTCAAATCGACCTTTTTGCTGAGGAGTACCATTCCCTGATTGCCGGAAGGAAGATAGAACGGAGCAGCTCGCTGAAAACACTCACACCAGTAGTAGATGAGGTAGGTGTGATGAGATTAGGCGGACGAATAGATGCTGCCACCGCTATCCCTCCGCATTCACGTCGGCCGATAATCCTGCCTAAACGTCACCACGTCACTGAGCTTGATAGTAGACTACTACCATAACATCTGGAAACACCAAAACGTAGCCACCATAATCGCGGAGATACGACGGCGATACTGGATACCGCAAATCAGAGCTGAGGTGCGTCGTGCTACCAAAAGATGTAACTATTGTAAAAAGGCAAATCCTCCTCAAATGGGGCAGCTTCCAGTGGATAGACTCACACCGTGCGTAAGGCCATTCACATATGTCGGTTTAGACTACATGGGACCGTTCACCGTGGCGATTGGTAGGCGAAGCGAGAATTGGATCGCGTTGTTTACCTGCCTCACGATCCGGGCAGTGCATTTAGAACTTGCTAAAGACCTTTCGACTGATACCTGTCTTATGTGCATACGCAATTTCATGAATCGGCGAGGAGCACCTGTACGCATCCGGTCAGACAACGGCACCAACTTCGTTGGAGCGGACAAAGAGCTGAGACGGCAGAGAATAGACTTCGAAAATGGAAAAATATTTAACGCATTGGCGAATAGAAACATTGAATGGGTATTTAATTGCCCCCTGAATCCCCATGCTGGAGGCTGCTGGGAGCGACTCGTCCGTAGCGTGAAAAGAGCCATGGGACATGCGCTAAACAACGACAACCTTCAGGAGCACTGCTTATATAGTCTCATATGCGAAGCAAAAATATAGTAAACTCACGACCGTTGACGCATATACCATTGGACGAACACACTGACGAACCGCTAACCCCTAACCATTTTCTCTTAGGTACTCCAAACTCGGAACAAACGCCACACCCTCACGAAGAGAAGATGATCCCCACCAGGAAGCAGTGGTATAAGATACAGCAAATGCAGCACAGGTTCTGGAGGAAGTGGATGGACGAATATTTGCCGGAGCTAACAAGGCGAACAAAATGGTACGAGGCGCAGAGACCCCTAGCAGTGGATGACGTCGTCCTCATCTGCGACAGTAACGTGCATCGTACGAAATGGCCAATGGGGCGAATAGTCCAAGTGTTCCCTGGCGTCGATGGGCAAGTGAGAGCCGCGCGAGTGCAGACCAAGGAGGGCATATTCAAACGACCAGCATGTATACTGGCCAAGTTGGACGTTGGTGAATCCGGCTAGATTCACGGAGGCGGGGATGTTGGCGCGGCTTGGCGGTTATATATAAAGACTTTGTAATTTGGTATGTTGGCAACCATAAATGTATTTCTGATTTTTGTAAAAACGTATGTATGTGGCAACGCTTAGCCAAAAAAATGTAACCGAGGTGTTAGCCATTATGTGCTGTGAAAATAGCGGCATTCGTGGCTGACATACCGGGAAGAACACACCAAAGTGTAAGTAATTGTTCATTTTGTTAATTTGTACTAATTTTTATACTTCCTAAAGGAAATAAAACGCATCAAGCATTATATTTGTGCGTCACAATAAGCAAAATTGGAGAGTTTTATTTATCGCCCGGAGCCACGAATCAAAGGAGACATCGTTTCTTACACGATCCATACATTTCGTCAGTGTATCTTGTACTCTCATAATGCGAGCCCCGAAAACGTATTCGCTATGCTTTCGTTCTCGTTGCTTAAAACCTTTCAATACAAATTGAACAAATTTTAATTAACATGGGAAATTTTAAAATAATTGTGGAATGCATAATCTGCAAATTATTCTTACAAAATAAAAATATTTTCTTGCATCATAATAAGCGTTCAGCACAAAAACTATGCAAATACTGACGCGATAAATATTGGACATGTAGCATTCGTGCGCGATCCATCAATTCATCAATGCCCTTGTTGAGCAAGATCCGGCAACATCTGATATCGATAAAAACTAAACTGTCAACTCGCTGTCTACGTGCCGCTGATTGGCTTTCGTAAATCGACTGTCAAAAGGGGAGAAGTCCATGGCGAAGAAGAGGTGAAAAGGCAGGAGATTTTTCTTTTTTCTACGGCGAACACGAGGCAAGAGAGGCCAAGTTTTTTAACGCAGCGAAAAATTTAATAAATTTGTGTAGTTATATCGAGCCCTGACCGCCAAAATAACGTAACCGACATTTTTTTCAATATTTTATTTTTGATTCAGAAAAGCATCTAGATGCTCTAGGAATATTCCTGCATCAAAAAGAAAATTTTGAAAAAAATGTCGCTTACGTTATTTTGGCGGCTAGGGCTCGATATATTGTAACTTAAAATATTGTTATTAATAAAGGCGCGTTTAAAAAAGGTCTTAACATCTTAAAAAACTTGTCTGGAGCAAATATGTCAGATGAAAAAAGGATAACCGGGGCTGATATGAAAAGCTGCAATTGCAGTCTCTGTACTAGAGTCGATAATCCGCACATGATTCGATGCACGAAATGCAGTCGTAAATTTCATAGAAAATGTGCGGACGTAAGCAACACCGTGAATAGACGACAGTGGGTCTGCCGGTCCTGTTCTGCTGCCGAAGTTTCAGCGGAGCCAGACACTGGCGCATCTGCCCCTCGCACGACAGATGCTACAACCGGGACTGTGGGTACATCTGATATAGCCCAAATATCAACCGTGGTAGCTAATATTCACAACAAATTTATAGACAATCTAGAACTAGAGAAATCGTTATTTGCTAAAAATAACGCTGATCCTATCCCCTTGTTGCCAACAGCAGGTCCGCAACTTGGCAAAAGTAGCTTCGATACTGACACAACACCATGCGATCCGGGTAAAGACGAGGATGCTCAACCACCGCCACATTGGCCCAGCGAGTTGAGGCATCCTGATGCACGGGTATCTCGGCCTCCGAGTCCGGCACAACCATCACGCGCATCAGTAGCTAGTAAAAGTCGTTGGATAGTCGAAGAACAGATCTTAATGGAAGAAGCACATATTCTTAAACAACGGCAGGAGCTCCTGAATAGACGAAAATAACTCCTGCGACGTATGGAGCTAATGAGTTCTGATAGCCGCTCCGATGAGGCAGAATGCTATACTCAAACTGTGCCATTGAAGCAGCATGCAGAAATGCGTCATAATGGTAAAACTATTGAAACAAATAATCTAAAAGACGTGCAGAAGCACCATAATCCGCCGCCAATAAACTTGCAGTGGTTACCCAACATAGGTCCAACAAACGCCGCTTCCAGCCATACAGCAAGCAACAGTCTAGTCGGACAAAATGTTATGGATTGCGTATCGCAAACAGCAAATCATCGTCACTTGACGCGTAATCAACTTGCTGCGCGCACTAGTGTAGGCAAAGAGCTACCAAAGTTTAGCGGTAGACCGGAAGAGTGGCCTTTATTCTTGGCGACCTACAACCAAACCACCGAAATATGTGGATTCTCACAGGACGAGAGTGTGATCAGACTCCGAAAGGATTTAGAAGGAGCAGCTCGGCAATCAGTGAAAAATCTATTGCTGTATTCAGAGTGCGGTCCACAAATAATTTCAACATTAAAAATGAAATTTGGCCGGCCTGAACTTATAATAAACGTTTTGCTTGACCAAATCCGTAACATGCCGCCCCAAACGACGGATAATTTGGAGAGCTTAGTAAACTTTGCGCTTGAAGTGCAAAATGTTTGCGCATCTAACCCAGAGCTGGAACAGAAATTAGTATCTAAGCTGCCCGCCATATTTCAAGCGTTCTGGGGAATGCACAAATTGTCACTGACCGAAAGCAATCTGGAAAATTTCAGTAAATGGTTGACCAGCTGGCCCAAGGTGCCAACAGCGTTATTATACCCAATTCGCAGAAGGAACGCAAGCGTGGTGTGTTACATATTCATTCCGAGGGAAAGAAGGACCACAAATTGGTAAGCTGTATCGTTTGCAAATCTAGTTCACATACGATATTTGATTGCGATTCCTTCAAGGGCATGTCACGAGCAGATAAGTGGGAAATAGTGCGGGCTCACAAAATATGTCGCCGATGCCTACATCAACACAGTCCGTTTAATTTCAGAGCGAAAATCGTTTGCAATATGGATGGGTGCCAATTGAAACATCATCCACTGTTGCATAAGTTTCCAGCTCATGTTACGACCAATGTAGTAAACACTCATATAATCAAAAACAACGAAATACTCTTTCGTATTGTGCCTGTTGTGTTGACGTACGCGTTCCTTGACGATGGTTCTTCGGTTATATAGATGAAGAATTACAAGACGAGCTGGAAATAGAAGGCACAAAGCGATCGCTATGTTTACGATGGACTGGTGACACGCATCGCTACGAGGATGATTCGGTAGTGGCCGATATTTTGTTATCGTCACCAGGTGGGAAGCGATTCACCCTTAAAGATGTGCATACCATCCGAGAGCTGAAACTACCATCCCAGTCGCTCGACGTCGCTACACTCAAGGCAAATTATAAGCCTCTACAAAATCTTCCACTGCAGTCGTACTATAATATGCGACCAAAACTTCTTATTGGCCTAAACAACAGTGCTTTAACATCGCCAACCAAAATCCGCATTGGAAACTTGACGGAGCCAATCGCTGTAAAAACCCGCATCGGCTGGACCGTGAAATGGCTATTGTCAAATGGAGCTGTTTCTCGCGAGCAGCATGTTTTTCATGTATGCGACTGCGAAGAGTCTGCCTGCGTTAACCTTCTGAAAACCCTCAAAGCTTATATTTGTTTGGACAATTTGTTGGAGTTGCCGCTAAATCCGCAGCTAGTTTGTCCAAACACGACCAACTAGCATTGAAACAGCTTGATGAGTCTACCAAACGTATATGAAACCAGCCTACTCTGGAAGTACTCTGAATTATCACTTCCCGATAGTTTACCTATGGCTAAACGAAGAGCACTATGTTTGCGCTCTAAAATGTATCGAGATCCTCAGCTATTTGAAACTTTAAAAGCGAAAATCGAGGACTATTGCAGAAAGGGATACGTGCGTAAATTACTACCCGAAGAAGAAATTGCTAAAAAATACTGGTACTTGCCTGTGTTTCCCGTTGTGAATCCCAACAAACCCAATAAAGTACGCCTAGTTTGGGACGCAGCCGCTAAGGTCAACGGCGTATCATTAAATGCAGTACTTTTAAAAGGCCCTGATCAGCTAACATCACTTTTATCAATATTGTTCAAATTCCGCCAGCGAAAGATTGCAATTGGTGGTGACATAGCGGAAATGTTCCACCAAGTGCTTATTAGGTCGGAAGATCAAAACTACCAGAGTTTTCTTTGGTATGATCCAGGGGCTCAACAACCTACAACGTATATTATGACGGTCATGAAAAGGTGCTTAGCATGTGGTGGGCGACTATGGATGACAGTCTTACATTTAGGATGTCCGAACACAAGCGGGGCAGTGACCTAATACGCACAAGTCGGTGGCCTACTAAAAGGGAGGTATTAAGCCTTGTTATGACCATATTCGATCCCCTGGGCCTCATTGGGTACTTCGTTATGTACGCAAAAGTACTCATGCGAGATATTTGGTGAAGCGGATTTCCCTGGGACGAACAAATCCCTGATGCGTTATATTCGAATTGGCTTCGGTGGATACAAATTCTTCCGAATATGGAGAGAATCAGAATCCCCAGATATTACATTCACCCAAATTTAACCAAATATCCTAACTTATAGTTGCACACGTTTATGGATGCAAGCGAAAAAGGGTATGCAGCTGTGAGTTATTTTAGATACTGCGAGGATGACTTCGTTAATTGTACACTCGTTGCCTCAAAAACAAGGGTATCACCAATCAGAATGCTAACGATTCCTCGGCTGGAGTTGCAAGCAGCGATTTTGGGTGCTCGCTTGGCGAAGAGTATCATAGAGGCACACTCGGTTTCAATCAAGCAATGTTATTTTTGGACGGACTCACGCACAGTTCTCTCCTGGATCAACAGTGACCATCGTCGCTACCAACAATTCGTCTCATACAGAATCAGTGAAATTCTTGAGACTACCGAACCAATTAAACGGCATTGCATATCAACAAACGATAACTTAGCTGATGAGGCTACTAAGTGGAAGAAAGCTCCTGAGGTCAGTTTGAAACTCGCTGGTTTAATGGTACACCGTTTTTGAAGCTGGAGGAAAAAAATTGGCCAGTAGAGTCCTTCTCACCGGGAGCCGCAACTACAGTAGAGCTTCGTGCCCAGTACGTTGGGACACATCATGAAGGACGGTTGAATGCATTTATTGCATTGGACCCAAATCGTTACTCATCCTGGCGTCGACTTTTAACCATGACTGCAGCAGTCGTATGCAGTGCCAAAATTTTGTTAAGCCGCGTCAGACCACATCCTGAGGGCATTGATGGTGTAAGCAGCTATCGTACACCGCGAACTGAAGACTTCAAGTTGGCCAAAATAATGCTGTGGAGGCAGGCGCAGTTCGATACTTACAAAGACGAAATATATTCCCTTAAACATGTGAAGTACGTTGAACGATCCAGCTCACTTTACAAGTTATCCCCATATCTGGATAGAAACAACATTATGCGACTTGGCTCGCGCTTAACTTCAAAAGATAGAAACGGTTTGTTAATCCTCGCCAAGAGTCATCGAATGACGCGCTTGATTGGGGCTGACTTCCACACGAAATATCGCCATCGGAATTTAGAGATAGTAGTGAACGATGTACGACAACGATACTGGGTGCCGCGGCTAAGAGTAGTCGTTAATGAAGTTCAAAAGCAATGTCAGCGCTGTAAGTTGAACAAGGCGAAACCAAAACCTCCGATAATGGGACAACTACCCTCGGCTAGAGTTTCTGCATTCTGTCGACTATTTACGTACGTGGGCGTTGACTATTTCGGACCTTTTATGGTATCGATAAGGAGAAGTAGTGAAAAGCGGTACGGGGTATTATTTATGTACCTCACGACGAGAGCGATTCATATTGAAATCGCGCATACTCTTTCAACAGACTCCTGCATCCTTGCAATTCGTAATTTCATAGCCCGACGAGGCAATCCCATTGAAATCTGGAGCGACAATGGTACAAATTTTAAAGGGTCCAACCGAGAAAGAATTGCGGACGGTATTCGCGCTAATGGATAAGAATGAAATAGTCAAAGCCTTCACTAGTCCTAACATGCTCTGGAGGTTCATTCCACCATCAGCACCGCACATGGGCGGTGTTAGGGAAAGGTTGGTACGTTCAGTGAAAGACGTGTTGTATTACACCTTGGGAAGTCGACAAACCAATGACGAGCTACTACGCGCAGAATTAATGGAAGCCGAAATGACGGTGAACTCGCGTCCACTCACCTATATGCCTATATCTCATTATGCGGATGAAGCATTGACTCCGAACCATTTTCTCCTTGGCAATTTCATCAGCTCTAAGCCTTTGTCAGAACTCAGCAATGATGGACCACTCCTACGTAGAGGCTGGCTCGCTTCTCAACAACTGGCCAACACCTTTTGGAAATGATGGCTTAGGGAGTACCTTCCAATCATCACCCGACGTTCTAAATGGTTTGAAAAAGTTAAGCCCATCGAAACCGGAGATGTGCTTATCGTCGATCCTAATCATCCTCGCAATTTCTGGCCCAAGGGTAGAGTTGTCAGTGTACGTAAAAGCGCTGACGGACAGGTAAGAAGCGCGACAGTTAAGACCATAACTGGCTTATATGAGAGTCCGGCGACGAAACTGGCCGTTCTTGATGTAGAATCGTTGGTGGAACCTAGCCAGGTTACACCAGGGGGGAGTGTTGAGCAAGATCCGGCAACATCTGATATCGATAAAAACTAAACTGTCAACTCCCTGTCTACGTGCCGGTCGCTGATTGGCTTTCGTAAATCGACTGTCAAAAGGGGAGAAGTCCATTGCGAAGAAGAGGTGAAAAGGCAGGAGACTTTTCTTTTTTCTACGGCGAACACGAGGCAAGAGAGGCCAAGTTTTTTAACGCAGCGAAGAATTTGATAAATTTGTGTAGTAATATATTGTAACTTAAAATATTGTTATTAATAAAGGCGCGTTTAAAAAAGGTCTTAACAGCCCTTTTTTTGCAAAATTCGGAAATTGGCGTACATTTATCACTCCTATTCTTCTTAAAACAGCCACTTCACCAATACATTTATATATTCCCCTTCCCTTTACACTTTATTCGATTAGTTATAGCTTTCTTTATTACTTTAATTTTAACCAATTAATTACAATTTATTAAATAAAAACACCTTCGTAATCCCGAGTATGCCTTTGGTTGCATATGCAAATTAAATGGCGGCGTTCAGCTGCCCAACTCCAAAGTATACAAGAAGGATGAGAGACAAAAGAAAATAAGATATAACCCAGATGCATTAAAAATATAAACCTTTCCATGGGAAATATGTATTCGAAGGCCGAAGGCCACCTACGCAAATGTGTTCAGCCCCCCTTCTTTGGCAACACAAAAAGGAGAATTCGACTCAGTGAAGGTTATATTTCGGAAGTGCGGGCGAAGGCCACCTACGCAGAAAGAAGTTCTGCGCTAAAATACTATCATGTCACTAATACTATAACATTTTTACCTGTCGCGTTTTTTTTGTATAACAACATTTTTAGAGACATTTCTTTTTATAACTTTTTCTTAGTTTACTTTTTTTATACAAAATCGCCTGATAACCAACTTGGAATAATTTTTTCATTTCCAAATTCCACGGTTAGTTGGCTTATATTTCACTTCAAATTGCTCAGTTTGCCTCGGTAAATGCCGTTTTTCCCCCCATTTTCAAACGGTTCGCCAGGGGTCTGCGGGAGGTCCCGAAGAGGGGCGGGGCTTTCGTAAAGTGTGGACTGTTCCCTTTCGAATGGGGGTGGTTTAGGGAGCCACGCCTCCTTCCCCTCCGCCCTTCACCCCCAAAACGTTGGGCCAATAACTAAAC